TTAGAGCCAGTCCGAGAGTAAGCCTTTGGTCCATCTGTGGAGATAGAGTTGTTGAATTGAAAGATGGGAGCTGAAGAAATTACCCAGAATGCGACACATAAAGACAGAGTTATAGGGAATGTTGAAGAGGTTCAAAAATGTGAGGGAGGGGGCGCCTGGGTGGCTCAGTCGTTAAGCGTCTGCCTTCGGGTCAGGTCATGATCCCAGGGTCCTGGGATCAAGCCCCACATCGGGCTCTCTGCTCCGCGGGAAGCCTGCTTCTCCCTCTCCCACTCTCCCTGCTTGTGTTCCCTCTCTCGCTGTGTCTCTCTCTGTCAAATAAATAAATAAAATCTTTAAAAAAAAAAAAAATGTGAGGGAAATACTTAGAAAATTAATGTACCTCTAGTTGGAACTCCAGGAAAAAATAGAATGTAGGGGAGTCAATATTGAAAGAAATAGTGCTGTGAATTTTCTGTAATTGATGAGACAAAGCTACAGATACAGAAAGCACAATACATAGATACATACAAATAGAATATTATTATGCAATTGCAAAATACCAAAGTTAGAGAAAATACTAGAAATTCCCCAAGAAAAAAAGGCAAGTCATCCTACAAAGGAGCAACAGAATGACATCAATAGCAATGGAAGCCAAAAGACAGTGGGATAATATTTCCAAAGTGCTAAGATAAATCTGTCAACCCATAGCTGTATACCCAGTGAAATTATTTTTCAAGAATGAGGATATAATACAGACATTTTCAAATAAAATTGAGAGTGTTGAGTACTAGGAGACCGTTACTAAATAGAGAATATCTAAAAAGATATGTATCAGGGAGATAGCAAATGACCTTAGAAGGAGGGTCTGAAATGTGAATAGTAAGAGTGAACAGAGAAAATGTTTACTAGGTTAGACAGTCTGTTTCGTTAATGGCCTTTGAAGTTCTCAAAAGTGTGGCCTTATACTTTGTGAAGAGGTGAGGTATTGTACCAAAAGTGTAAGTGTAAATTGCTTTGAACTCCCCAGAATCCATTCCATCACTTTTTCATTCTGTAGCTGCATTGTGTTTTAGGGGGAATTGACCCCAGTTCACTGCTAGGGCCTGATTAGTTTAATTCAGTCGGAAATAATCCCATTCTGCTTGATAATTCAGTTGATTCAGGAACCAGGCCTAAGTCATCCTGCCTGTGACCATTACTTTGGTGGTAGTTATTGACTTAAATGTGGTCATGTGACTGAAGTTGGCCTACTCAAACTAAAGGAAAGAATTCTTATTTCATGATTGAGGGAGAGGCACACTGGGAGAACCTAGATTGCTTCTTATTATGGTAAAAGAGATATGCCTTAATGTGAAGTCAACAGTAGGAATAGCAGAGCTGTGAGAAAGAAAAACACTAGTAAGTTTGACTCCTAATGATTTCATTGTGTTACTAAATCACCCAGCCCTGAAGTTTACTCTATTTTATGTGAGATTGTAGTTTAAATTTAAAGTTTATAAGCTTATAGTATCTTATTTAAGCTCCACCCAAAACTTATCCTGCAAAACAAGTTAGACTTCATTAATACAAGTATAATTTCAGTTCTACACCAGGAAAAGTAAAAGCCATATGCTGTATACTGCTCTAACAAGACTAGATTAATTTTAGTTACCACGTTTTATTGAAGTACATTGGCAAATTAGTATGTCCAGAGGAGATGACAGAGTGAGGAAGAGTGTGAAAATCCTGAAATGTTAATATATGATCAATATGAAGCATATCTTTGGCCTAGTATAAGAAGATGCTGAAGAGATTTAGTAACACTGGTATTCACATATTTTAAGGGCTATCGTGTGAAAGAAGTATTAGATTTATTTTTACATGATCTAGACATCAGAACTGATTGTAATCAGGAAGAATTCTGGAGAGGTGTAAGAGTTGTGATCAGTATAAGAAAGAATGTTTTAATACTTAGAGCTGTCTGAAAATGGGGACAAAGGGATGCAACAGTGAAGAGCTATCATTGGAGATGTAGGGAAGAAATTTTTTTTCTGAAATTCTCCTAACAGGACTTTCGTAACTATATAGTATTAGAAAAATTTTCTACATAGGGCAGGAGGAGGTTGAATTATATTATTTACAAAGACCCCTAGAATTTTATTATTCTAGTTGCTAATCCAGTTATTGTAATACTGGTTTTCAACTCTTAACCTCAATACTTATTTTTTAAATTAAATTCTTGGTAATGCCTCCTTACTATCTAAAAACAAAATTCATAATGAATATTATCTGTCCATACATATAATGTTTAAGGAATAAATGTGAATGTAATATAAAATGTAAAGTAAAAGTCCACAATCATTTATTCCATTTCTGAAATCTTTAAGACATTTTTAAAACCAAACATTTTTCCTAAGTTAGGCATATATTTGAAAGCAAAACCTAATTTTAATTGACATGAAGCTAATTATAGTCTTTATACAATTGGCGAATTCATGTTTTGCTCCAAAAATATTCGTGTGTTTGATCACAGGTTGCTGCTCCAGACCCTACTGGGGGTGTTACTTAATATACTTTGAAGTCCAGAAAAATTCTGAATTCTTAAAATATCTCATCCCAATGGCACTGGCTGAAATATTTTAGTTTATTAACAAGTATTTCAACATGTACATGTTCTGGGATGGCTAATTTAGAATGCATAATAAAGTAATCAAACAGCTGCACATCTGATTAATATGTTTGCATTTAAAAGAAATAAGATGACGAGATACTCTGTTCAAGAGGTGAGAGAGCAGGTCATGCTGTGCTACGTGGGACAGGGAATACCAGACCCTGTTTATTTGAATATGGTAAACGAAAGGGAGAAATAACTGACAAAGGAATAACATGCCTAACCAAATTATGCCTAAACATTGTTGACTTGAAAAAAATGGGGATATGTGACATTTTTAAAAATGATCTGAGCCTTCTTAATAATTGTTATCAAAACAATTCCTATATTTTGATAGTGACAGAATATTAGGAAAAAAATGTATCTTCTAACTTGAATGAGATTCCATTATTATTGAAGCCTGCATTCAGTCTCTAGTACTTAATAACAGAAGTCATATATGATCTCTAAGGACAGTATCAGAGTCATATTAAAGGACAATAGCCTTTAAAAAAAAAAGAGGGACGCCTGGGTGGCTCAGTCCATTAAGCGACTGTCTTTGGCTTAGGTCATGATCCCAGTGTCCTGAGATCAAGTCCCACAATGGGCTCCTTGCTCATCAGGGACCTGCTTCTCCCTTGGCCTGCAGCTCTCCCTGCTTGTGCTCTCTCTCTCCCTCTTTCTCTCTCTCTGACAAATAAATTAAATCTTTAAAAAAAAAAAAGACAATAGCTCAAAAATTACATAATTTCATTGTGTAGGGTGAATGTTTTGAAATATTTACATAAGTTATTAAGGAAGTTTATTAAGATGATTACATTTTTGGTTCTAAATCTTATAAATACTCTGTTACACATTTGCAGGTTATTTTGTTTATTTTGCAGTATCAGCACTATGGCTCTGAAACTCTCTTCAACTAAATTAGTATTTGAATATTACATGATAATTTAGGAAACAATATATTTTTCAATAATTTGGAGACAACTTTCTATAAATTTTTGATATAACTTTTACTAGTTTATATTCATAGTGAGTTTAATCCGCAGAACATTCAAAAGTTGCGTGGAGGGCACCTCGGTGGCTTAGTCAGTTAAGTGCCCAACTCTTGATCTCAGGTCAGGTCTTGATCTCAGGATCCTGAGTTCAAGCCCCACACTGCATGGGATATAGAATAGTTAGTTCATCATTGATACTCTTTAGAATATAGTTTAAGAATAAAAATAGATCATGTTCCTTTTTTTCCTTTTGTCCTATGTATAAATAGGATCGATCCTTCCTCCCTCCTTCCCTCCTTTTCTTCCTTCCTTCCTTCTTTTGACCTCTTACCATTTTCCATGGCTGGTTGTACTCTTGTAGAATCTTTTATAATGACTTTTGTCCACCTTTATTGTCTTAACAGCAATTACATATGTCATTTAGCAAGTGATACAGCATGACTTTATACTTAAATATGTAAAATTAGGGGCAATTATAATATATACTAGAGTTCTTTAAAAAGAAGACTTCAAAGAGAAATTAATTTTGTGTCTTAAGCAGCCCCATATATGTTTGGTAAAGAACTTTCAGCATTTAACATCTTTATGTGTTAGTTTCTTTCATAGGCAGGATTTAAACTTAATAAAAGTGAGACACTGTGGTAGGAGGGTAACAGTTCCATAACACTGGTTACTTTATTTTCTTACCACTTAGTAAAATGTTGTTTGGAGTTTTTATGTAATAGGATATTTAATTAAATGTTATCAGCTAAACTACTATTGTCCTGTTTTGTCTGTAGGATACTGTTAAACTTGGAATAAAATGTAGAATTTTCTGTTTTTTAGCTACAGGATAAGGACTAATTTTCTGTTTTAGCTACCATTTTGGTTTCATCAAAATAGGGAAAAATCTTTTTTAAAAAGCATTTATAAAATCAAATGAGTTTGGATTTTTCTTTAGGTGTATAGGGAAATGCTGTTATATTAGTATATGACAAGTTTTACATTAGTAATTATTTTTGATAATCTGTGAACAGTGTAGCTGTTTTTTAGTCCTTTTTTAATATAGTCACTTATCCTTTTGTTTATTTTATCCATTTTAAACAGTTTTTTCCCCTAGAAACTTAGAAATAGAAACTTGGTATGTTGTAGACTATCCAGGGCTTATTAAATATTTGCATTGTATATTTTAAAATCTCAGTTATTCCTTTTACCATGTTGCTGTTCTTTAATAAAATAGTATTCTCATTGTGGTGCTAACAATAGAACTTGTCACTTTTTTTGCTTAGTGGATAAGTGATTATCTGCAGAACAGATTCAAAAAAAAATGAAGCTAGAAATATTCTGTATTATAGTAACTATCTCATAATATTTTTTTAAATATTGTAATATGTGTATATGTATATACTTTTTAGAAAGAATCTTCAAGAGGGAGACATAGGGAAAAGGAAGACATAAAAATCACTAAGGAGAGAACGCCAGAAAGTGAAGAAGAAAATGTAGAATGGGAAACTAATAGAGATGGTGAGTTTCAAAAAATCTTTGTTTATATCGTCAATTTATTGATTATTTACTTTGTAGATTTTTTGGGCTTCAAAACACTTTTCAACTGTGATCTCCTTGTTGTTTCAGAGTCATCTTATTGCCTTGTTTCTACCTTACTGAGTTAGAATACAGACGGCTTGTGGTAGCAGAACAAAGGCAGAGAAAGCTGTTCACACTGCATTTTTCAACTTCCCCATCCTTTTTTCCCCCTAGAACTATATTGGGCAGCATCACAGTCCTTTGAAATTGTATTACTTTTCTAAGTTTTTTTAGTTCCTCAATACCAAGGTTAGAAAAAATTATGTCTAAATTTTGTTTTTCACATAAAATACTAAAATGAGATTTTTAAATCTTAAGGATCCGGGAAAATTATTTCCAAGAAATTTTGTAGACTTTCATCTTTCAGAAGAAATCCAGTTCAAATAATTGAGATCAGGGATTTGTTGATGAAAAATAGCAAAATCATCTTTGCATCAGTGTCTTAACAAAGTAGCATTTGTTTTCCACACCATGAATATTCTCTCTTCTTCTTCACTTCTGTGACCTTCTGAAGGTGAGCACTGTAGCCTCACACTATCAAATATAGAGAAAGAGAACTCACATTTGTTCAATGCTTTGGGTGTGCTGGGCATTTTTTTTTTTTAAGATTTTATTTATTTATTTGAGAGAGAGAGAATGAGAGATAGAGAGCACAAGAGGGAAGAGGGTCAGAGGGAGAAGCTGACTCCCTGCTGAGCAGGGAGCCCGATGTGGGGCTTGATCCTGGGACTCCAGGATCATGACCTGAGCCGAAGGCAGTCGCTTAACCAACTGAGCCACTCAGGCGCCCCTGTGCTGGGCATTTTAATATAATTTATGTAATTACCTTATTAATTCATTAGCTTTATTGTACTTACAGATGACAAAACTAAAGAGTTTAAGAATTTAAGCAACTTCCTTAATAGTAAACTGATAACTTAGACCAGGAGTTAAAAAAACAATAGCTTGTGGGCCAGCCACCTGTTTTTGCAAATAAAGTTTTGTTGGAACACAGCCATGCCCATTTGGTTACATATTTTCTGTAGCTGCTTTTTAGCTACAGTGGATGCATAGACATCTGTGAGAGCCAAGAGCCTGTAAGCCTAAAATATTTACTGTTACATTTAAGAACAGCCTCTGAGGACTTATATTCTCATGTGTGAAAAGTGTGCTAAATGCCTCTCTAGTAATTCGAACATCAGTATTTTTTAAGGAAATCCATTCCATCTTTGGTCAGTGTTGTCTACTTAAAACTTACTCCTAAAAATAGATAGGAAACTTCCCTATGATTAGTTTATTGGGATTTCATAAGCCAATTTAATACCTCCTACAAAATAGAAGCAGCTAAAATGTCCCATTGTAGTTAATTGAGTAGTTAATAACACTGAAATTAAATATTACAAACCTTGACTGTTAAAGGTTATGAAAGGATTAACTCAACACACTCAGCATTCTTTTGATTTTAGTTATTTGTGGATAAAAAAACACTCTGAAATGTAGTAGATACTTCTTATCTTTAAAAACAAAAATTTCTCTATTCCCATTTAAAAGGTTTGGAAAAGCTTAAGACAGTTCTCTCCTTGTTTTCATAATAGCTATTTCAAACCCTCTCTCCTTAAATCTCCCAATGAACCCTTCATAGTTCCTGGCTGCTGTTTACTACACATAGACCATGCATCTCGCCGTCCACTAACTCCCTCAACTTCCTCTGTCATACTTCCAAATTAGTCTCCTTTTCCCACCTGAACTTTACTATTTCCCTTTTGTTCTATGTAAGAAGCCTCCCTTCTGCTGTATAAGGTTGTATTTCCCTATGTTCTGGATCCGATTTCCTCCCCCCTCTGAAGTCTTGTTCATTTAGCATACATTCTCTTTTATATATCTTTAACACCCATCTGTATACTTTTTCTCCTGTCCATGTGACTTTCAGCCATCACCCTGCTTATCCCCACTTTACAACTAAATTCTTGAAGTAGTTCTGTACATTACTGTCTTTACTTTTTCACCTCAATAGTTAACTCCGTTTTCTGACCCATGTCTTCACTAAAATTGCTCTTCAAAGTTACTAATAACCTCCTCTTTGCTAAATGAACGGAGACCTACTTGTCTCTCTTCTATAATCTCTCCACAGCATTTGAGAGCCTCTGTCTTCTGGAAGCACTTTCCCCTTGGATTTCATCTATCTATCCCTCTTTAGGTCTTCTGTCTTCCTTTGAAGCCCTTCAGTCTTCTACAGAGATTCCTTGTATTTTATCTATCTTTTAAATGTTGCTTCCCAAGGCTTTGCTCTAGACTGTCATCTTTAAAAAAAACTAAAGTGATTTTACTACAAGAGCCTTTTTATGTACAAAATTCCTTTAAAAGGTGAGTAGATGCCTTTTATCTAGTTTCACATATAAAATATACACATGGCTATTTATTACCCAGTTTCTCTTGATTAGAACTCAAAGGTTTTGATCATTTATCTCTATATATTAAAAATATGCTTGAAGGAATATTGACGCATGGATTTAGCCATCTCAATCCCCAGATAATGAGACTGTGAGCTAGTTTAATAGGCTTTCCTTCTACATTTTCAATCTAAAGTGAATAGCAATTTTAGCTAGACTCAGAAGAAATTGCTCTATACCAATATTTCTCAGATTTTTTGGTCTTAGGACACTTTTCACTTTTTTAAAGGATCCCAGGCAGCTTTTTTTTTTTTTTTTTTTAAGATTTATTTATTTGAGAGAGGGAGAAGAGAAAGAGGGCACAAGTAGGGGGAAAGGGGGAGAGGGAGAGAGAGTCTTGAGCAGACTCTGTGCTGAGTGTGGAACCCGATGCAGGGCTCAGTCTCAGCCACCCTGAGGTCAGGACCTGAGCCAAGACCAAGAGTCAGATGTGTAACCGACTATGCCACGCCCCCCCAAACATCTTTTGACCTGGATTATCTGTTTCAGTTCTTACCATACTAGAAATTGAATCTGAGAAATTTTTTAAATATTTATTTATGAATTATTTAACAATGACAATAATAAACCCAGCATATACGTTTACAAAAGATAGACATGTTTTGCAAATTAAAAATAAAAATTAGGAGGAGCAGTGTTTTACATGTTTTTGTAAATCTTTTTAACATCTGGCTTAATAGAAGACATAAGGATTTTCATGTCTGCTTCTGCATTCAGTCTATCTATGGTATTACATCTCATGTGACTTCTAGAAAACACTATATAGTCAGGAAAGAATAATAAACCGGCAAATAGTATAGTATTATAGAAATGTTTTTGATTTTCTAAAACTCCCAGAATTGTCTTGGGGTTCCCAGAAGTCCTCAGACCACTCTTTGAGAACTACTTTTTTCTAGAAGTGGCTTCTGCTTTCAATTGTTTTCCCTTTGCCTAGCCACCTTTTCTCAATTTTAATTTTTCCTTCCAGATGAAATCATACTTTTAGGGCACTGTTACCATCTATGTATTAATGATTCCAGTATCTAGAGCTTTCAGTTGAGGCATCTATCAACTGGATATCTCTATCTGATTTCCTTATATAGAGTACCACTTTCCATCAAGGCCCCCCCAAACCTGGGAATCATTATTCGATACTCTGTCCCCTCAACCTAGACATTTATAGAGTTCCGACATTTCTACCTACTGAATATCTTTCAGAACTATTTTTCTGCATGACTACTAATATTTTGGTTACTAAGATATTTGTGTATTGCCTTTAAATATCAAAATAACAACCTCATGCCTTGAGGTTAATCTTGTCTCCTAATTCATTCCCTCTTGAAAGTCAGATTAAATCTTAAAAGAATTTTTTTTACTAAAGTGTAGTATGCATTCAGAAGAGTGCATGATTCATGTGTGCAACTCGTTGAATTTTCACAAACAGAACAGACTTGTATAACCAGCACCCAAATCAATAAATAGAAAGTTAGTAGTAACCCGTAAGCCCCCTTGTGCTCCCTTTCCAGTCACCACCTCCCAACCCCCACCTCCCAAAGGTAACTACTGCCCTGATTTCTACCACCATTGATTAGTTTTGTCTGTTTGGAGCTGTGTATAAAGGGAATCTGTAGCAGTACTCTTTTTATGGTTAGCTTCTTTTACTTACAATGTATTTTTGAGATTAAACCATATTGTTTACTGCATGTAGTTGTAGTTCATTATTATTGCTATATAGTATTTCATTGTATGAATATACCATAGTTATCTATTCTTCTGTTGATAAACATTTGAGTAATTTCCAGTTTTGAGCTATTATGAATAAAGTGCTATTACTATTCTTAATCATGTCTTTTGCTAAACATGTACCCATTTCTCTTCTGTTTATGCCTGGGAGTAGGATTGCTGGGCCACAGAATTTGCATGTGTTCATCTTTAGTAGATAATTTAAAAATGGTTGTTGTTTTTTATATAGTATTTTTTTGTTTTTTTTCATCTCAGCCATTCTGGAGGTGTGTGCTGGTATCTTACTGTGATTTCAGTGTGCATTTCCCTAATGACCAATGAAGTTGAGAACTTTTTCTCCCACTGTATTATCTGTTTCGTAAACTATGTGTTCCAGACTTGCCTGTTCTGTTGTATTACCTGTTTTTAATTGTTGAGAATTCCTTTTATATTTTGGCTATAAGATTTTTTTTTTTAAGATTTTATTTATTTTTATTTGACACAGAGAGAGAGAGCACAAGCAGGGGGAGCAGCAGGTGGAGGGAGAGGGAGAAGCAGGCTCCCTGCTGAGCAAGGAACCCGATGCGGGGCTCGATCCCAGGACCCTGGATCATGACCTGAGCCAAAGGCAGACACATAACCGACTGAGGCACCCAGGCACCCCTTGGATATAAGATCTTTATCAGATACATGTATTCCAAATATTTTCTTCCACTCTGTGAGTTACAGAATGCTCTTATGAAAGAATAAATTGCTTCACTTCATTCCTCTGTTTAAAATTCAGATTTCCCAGGGTGCCTGGGGGGCTCAGTTGGTGGAGTGTCTGACTCTTGGTTTTGGCACAGGTTGTGATCTCAGGGTCACTGGTTGGAGCTGCGCGTTGGGCTCTGCACTCGGCAGGAGTCTGCTTGAAATTCTCTCTCCCTCTCCCTCCTCCTGTGCTCCTCCCCCTGCTGGTGCACGTGCACGCACACTCTCTCTCGAGCTCTCAAATAAATAAAATCTTTAAAAAATATTTGGATTTCCCATTTCCTTCAGGATCAAGTACAAATTCTTATTTTACAGAACTTTTCATTATCTGGTTGCTTCCTATATTTCCACTCCTCACCCCCAAGTCTGTGTTTTTTATTTGGTTACTTAAACTTCCTCTTATTTATTTATCATAGGGACTAGTGCAGTAACATAAAAAGCAAAAGTATCGTTACAAGAGAAGAGAAAATATATGAACATATTTTGGTAATCTTAGCGGTGGATACATTCTCCTGAAGTAAGGCATAAAACCCAGAAGCCTTATTTGAGTTATAAAGATTTAAATTTTCTATATAACTAAACTGTAATTTAATAATTAAAAGATTACCATAAGAAAATATTTGACATGTGTAACGTGTAAGCATACAGCAAAAACACTATGTAAACATATAACGAACTTCGACAAATATAAGAAAAAGATATAGTCCAGTTGGAAAATGGGCAAAAAACAAAAATTAGATAGGTAATTCATAGAGGAAATAGACATGGTCAGTAAATGCTCAGGCTTACTACAGAAGAAAGCCAATGAAAATAAAAACGTAGCGTTTTTCACCCATCAGATGGGTGAAAATGAAAAATACTAATATTACGAAGTGGGAGTTTCCATTGGCAAAGCTATTTTGGAGTGCAGTTTGGCAATATTAAAATAAAATTTTGCTTATCTTTGATCCAGCAAATCTAGTTTGAGAAATCTGTCCTAAAGAAATAATTTGCACTTGTGAATCAGGGAAGCTGTCAGAATGTTCATTGAAGTATTGTTTATAGAGCAAAATATTGAAAACAAACTGAGTGTGTGTCAGAGGGAAACTGATTAAATAAATTACAATATGCTCTTATCCTGAAATGCGTTACAGATGTTAAAATGAAAATGGTTGATCTCTATGCATGACATGGAAAGATTTTTTTTTTAAGATTGTATTTATTTTGGAGAGTGAGTGCAAGTGGTGGGAGGGGCAGAGGGAGAGAGAGAATCTCAAGCATCTCTGCACTGAGTGTGGAGCCCGACGCAGGCTCCATCCCTGGACCCTGAGATCATGACCTGAGCTGAAATCAAGAGTTGGCCACTTAACCAGCTGAGCCATCCAGGCGCCCCTGGAAAGATATTTCTATAGGGCAGTGTGTGTAGTTTTAGTACCATTATTTTAAAGAGTATAAATATAAACGTTTATTTTTATGCATACAACACTAGTAACAGTGTTACCACTGGAGTAAGGATGGCAATGGGAGGAGTGTAAGGGAATTTCACATTTTATCCTGTGTACTTAAGAATTAAGGCTTTTATTTATTTATTTATTTTTAAAGATTTTACTCATCTGAGAGAGAGAGACAGCACAAGCAGGGGGAGAGGCAGAGGGAGAAGGAGAAGCAGACACCCCGCTGGGCTGGGAGCCCGACATGGGGCTCTGGGGTTCTATCCCAGGACCCGGAGACCATGACCTGAGCCGAAGGCAGACGCCTAACCATCTGAGCCACCCAGAATTAAGACTTTTAATAGTGAGAATGTATATGTTAAAGACAAAAGGAAATACTTAAATATATATAGTCTTTAATCCATATACATATACTTTTTATATATCTATGATGATTTGCATAATATGGATTACTGGAAGTAAAATTGTTATATTAAAAGGTGTGAATATTCTTAAGGCTTTTACCCATGTTGCCAAATTACTTTCCAAGGTAGATGTAGTAGTTTACATTGTTACCTTCAGAAAATGAACATACCTTTTATCTGTACCTTTGCTAATACCTAATGCTATAATTAGAAAAAAATGACTCTTACATACATGAAAAAGCCATATTTATATATCATTTGCATTTTTTTCTTTTTGTGAATGGCCTGTTTGTGTCCTTGCTCATTCTCCTTTTAATCAGTATGAACTCTTTATGTATTAAGAATGATGGGGCACCTGGGTGGCTCAGTCGGTTAAGCATCTGCCTTTGGCTCAGATCATGATCCCAGGGTCCTGGGATCTAGCCCTACATCGGACTCCCTGCTCCATGGGGGGGGTCTGCTTCTCCCTCTCCCACAGCCTGCTGCTCCCCCTGCTTCTGCTCTCTCTCTGTCAAATAAATAAATGAAATCTTAAAAAAAAAAAAAAAGAATGTCAACCTTATGTATTGTATTTTTCTATTGTATATGTTCTTAAAAATCTCTGCCTTATAAAATATGACATTCTAATTATATTTAATATTTTTCTAATGACTTAATCATCTATATGAATCAGTTTTTATTAGGCAATTATGATAACCTCAAGCTATAAGATATGACATTTTCTAAATTTATTAAAGGGTTTCAGACTTTGTTTTGAGTTTCATTTTATGTTTTGTGCCTTCTCATTTTTCATTTTTTGTTAGGAGACTATCAGTTGCATCATGCCTGTTTTGTAGCTCATCTCTTACAGGCCAGGAAAACATCTTCCTTTTGTATATAATAGATAGCCATAAAATAAGAATAAGTAGTATCTGAGTGAAGACTTGAGAGCTTTTCCTCTAAGCAAAATATATTAGTTATAGTACATTGATTTTAACTGTTCAGGGTTAGCCCCTTGTGGGGTGGTTGGGGACTCAAGGACTGAAAGCCACCTTCTCATTTTTTACATGTGTTCTGTATTGGTGATATTTCCAGGTAGCAGTTTTTAGAGGGACGTGGGACATTATTGATAATACCTTTAAAAATGCTATAAATCATTCTTTGCAATTAATTGCTCTTCCCTTTGTTTTATACATACTTAGTATTTAATTATGGAATTTTTTCTGTTAATATTTTAAGAATACCATCAAACTGAATCTTTGAACCCTATTACTCACTGATACAAAGTATCAATGCACAGTAATACTGAAGATAGCCATTATTTATTTACTTAAATTTAGTATCTCCTGGGGCACCTGGGTGGCTCAGTTGGTTAAGTGTCTGCCTTTGGCTCAGGTCATGACCTTAGGGTCCTGGGATAGAGCCCAGCGTCAGACTCGCTGCTCAGCAGGGAGTCTGCTTCTCCTTCTCCTTCTGCCCCTCCCTCCTGCTTGTGTGCTCCCTCTCTCTCAAGTAAATAAAATCTTAAAAAAAATTCAGTATCTCTAATCATTTTATCTAGTAAAAGCTTTATGTCCTTAAATATTTAGTGATTGCTTTCTGACTGAAAAATGTGGTTTAGTCTATTTTATATATTTACTGAAAAATTGTCATCATCTTCTATTAGATGAGTAATCAATTTAGTTACACAGTTAAAGGCTATATAGCTACCCTCTCAGTTCCCAAGCATATAAATGGATAGTTGGCATTATAATGTATTTGGTCTATGCATGACAATGATGTTCATTTTCTTTTCTTTTTTTTGAAAGATTTTATTTATTTATTTTGAGAGAGAGATCATGAGCAGAGGGGAAGGGTAGGGGGAGAAGCAGGCTCCCCACTGAGCAGGGAGCCCAATGCGGGGCTCAGTCCCAGGACCCTGAGATCATGACCTGAGCCGAAGGCAGACACTTAACCAACTGAGCCACCCAACCGCCCTGATGTTCATTTTCTTGTGCTTTAAGCAATCAAGTAGAACTACCTTTCTTTGTTGTTTTTTAGTTCTTCATTTTATTTCTTTACCCCAGGTTAAGGAATGGTGATCTTAAGTGCTAAAAGTATCGTTTGAGAAGACACTTCAGTTCCTAAGCAGTCAAGCCCAACATTGTCATGTGTTGGGATAGGAGTCACTGAAATTCCTTCCTCTAGGCTTTTTGGCATTATAGCAAATGAGGGTGAGAGGTTGGGTGGCAGTGCCAGTAGCCACTGAAAACTTCCGCATATTGTGATGAAATAGCTCTGCACACCATTCTTTCTTTCTTTTTTTTTTTCCTTTAACCAGCCATCATATTTTTTTCATTGGAAAAGGTGAATGGAAATAAAGGCGTAGTATCAGATCTGTTGAGGAGATAGGCAGTTCTAATCTAAGGAACCAATACAAATCGCTTATAATGGAAATGTACAGTGCCCTCAGACATTAGCTCATGTACACGTTAGTATTGAAATTATCAGACTTTAGTTTTAGATACAAATCAGTTGTGTCACTAGTAAAAAAAGAATATGGAAGCAGTGTAGGACACCTAATGTAACCTTCATTTAATACTAATGAATCCTTAAAGTCAAGGAGATAATGAAATCACATCATATTCAGGATGAAATATTGAAGGCTTTGGTATCTTTAATATTTACAATTTACATGTTAGTTTTTAATTGTATCTTTTAAAAATCCCGTCTCCTAACCAAAATCCCACAACCCCAGGCAACCCAAAACCACTTTCAGAAAACCCAAGAATCTTAAAAATGTTTGGCTTTTCATAAAAAAATCAACCATATTGATTTTAATCCTTTATAGAAACAGTACATATTTTATCTTTGAGAAGTATGTGGTTCTAATGAAAGAATCTACCATTTTAATTTGTATAAAATTTAGTGGAAAAAAATTTCTCTAATTTTTGGTATAGATAATTGATAGTTTCTGACAAGTAATGTAATTTTTATTTTAAAGATTCTGACAATGGAGATATTAATTATGATTACGTTCATGAGTTGTCATTGGAAATGAAGCGTCAGAAGATACAGAGGGAATTAATGAAGCTGGAACAAGAAAACATGGACAAGAGAGAAGAAATTATTATTAAAAAAGAGGTATGCTGTTTATTGAAATATGTTAATAATTAGCATCAAATAAATGGCTATTGATCAGAGAATTCATTAGCTCTATCTTAAATTGTATTAGGATATTGATACACTGATCAAATTATTGTATATCAACTACATATATGTCAATCATTTAATCTTCACATTATTATATAATAAATATGAAATATTTTTGGTTTTGAACAGGTAAAAAACTGAGGTGGTAATTGCGTAGAGTTGCCAGCTAATGTTAAATAGGATTTGAATCTATGTATGTCTGTTTTTTAGGCCTAAGCTATTTCTAGAATACTTGTTTACTTTCTAAAGGGTAGAAATGCAACTTATTTGAATATAATTGGTGATTTTTCCGAAGAGATTTTGAAGTTTTACAATTTTAGTTTGCTTTATTGATATTAGTGTTAAGTTAGGGCAGTTAATTATCATATTGGTTAAAAGCATGTGTTTAGGAGTCAGATTAACCATGGTGTCTGTAATAGCACTTAATATTTCATCTGAAATTTGGTATATTTTAGAAACACCTACTCTGTTGTCTGATTATAACAGCCATGATTGAAGGAGTTTCTGAACTGACTGACTGAATTCTTTTAAAAGGTTTCACCAGAAGTGATTAGATCAAAATTATCTCCATCACCTTCTCTAAGAAAATCAAGCAAATCTCCAAAGCGAAAATCAAGCCCTAAGTCATCATCTTCAGCAAGCAAGAAAGACAGGAAGACAGCTGCAGTATCCTCACCCTTATTGGACCAGCAGAGGTCAGTAGGGTGGTAAATAATGCCAGAATGAAATAGCTTTTTCTGAAATGATACTCAAAAGAATTAGTAGATTACAGAAGGGTACTTTCAGTATTTAATGTAAATTTTTTTCTTCTAAAAAAAGGTATAAAAAGTTTAAATTTAAAAGAAAATTATACAGAACAATGAAACAGATGTCTGTGTCCCACCTACATATGCTTCAGAGCTTTTTATTTTTTAAGAATAAAACATGATACATATATATCCTGTCTTTCCCTCTTGAATTTGTTTTTGATACTTGTGCATGTGTGTTTATACTTTCATATGTATTATTTTTATCTGTTTAATCTTAATACTTGTATTAAAGCTTTGCTTCTGCAACTTTCTTTTTCACTTAACATTTTTTGTATTTATATTGATGTATATAGCCTTTTTTTCATTTGAGTACTTAATACTATATTTACTTTTCTGCTATTGCACATTGAAGTTGTTTTCAGTTTTTCACTATTACAGGTTATACACAGTGAATGTTCTTCTTGTCTCCTTGTGCACGTGGTTCTGAGAGTAGATTCTTTATAGCCTACATATAGCAGTATGAAGATATTGGAATTATTCCAGTAGCCAGTTGAGGAAATAAAAATAGAAATAGGAAAATATGATTACATCGAGGGACTAATAATAAGACAGAAGACACATTCCCACTTAATGTCACTCTATACTATTTAAATTTTGTTTTAATTAAAGCACATAGACTAATTTTCTTTAAGAAAAAAACCTAAACCTCTTCCCAACATATGACCAGTTGGGCAAACTGTCTATCTGAACCTACAAGGAAACATATCTGTCTTCTTCCTTTTAGTTTCTAGAGGCTTTAACCCTACAGACTCCAGGTACCTTCTGCCTAGATTATTATATCCTAATAACTGTGTTTATTTTATCCAGTGCCACTCCCCTACACACATAAACATTTCATTCAGCAGCCCCAACCTATTCATTTTACAGATGTTGTGAGAGAAATCTTGAAAGAACAATTCCAATTAATTTACTCTGCCATTGAAAAACTCAGTGGATTTCCATTCTGTTGAATAAAATTCAGATTCTATTTTTTTTAAAGATTTTATTTATTTATGAGAGAGTGCACGCATATGCATGCATGCATGAGTGGTGAGAGGAGCAGAGGGAGAGAGACAAGCAGACTCCCCACTGAGCAGAGAGCTGGATGCAGGGCTCAGTCCATGCAGGGCTCAATCCCAGGATCCTGAAATCATGACCTGAGCTGAAGTGAGAGACTTAACTGACAGAGCCCCCAGGTGCCCTAAAATTTAGATTCCTTAAGATGACATTTATACTTTGATCTTTTCAGTCTTGTTAATATTTTTGTCCAGTTTTCTTCTTACCCTCTTCCACCTTCAGTTCTTCAGTGTCCGGCTCAAATTCTGTCTTTCCATTAAGTTTTTCCATTTCTCTTTATTGAGCATAATTTCTATTCTTTTTGTATATCTATCAGATTTTATTTATACCTCCCTCTTAATATTACTGTTTGCATTATATTTTATCTGTGGCATACATATATTAGAACCTCTGTTAAACTTAAGCTCCTTGAAGATTGGGATCTTGGTGGTTCCTTGTTTTTTCTCCCCACAGCACCTACTTTGCATAGAGCTTTGCATTGCATTAAGACACGCTGTAAAGATGACTTGGTCCTCTCCTTTGCTCCTGGAATTGAGTAAATGTTGCAAAGAAATATGGAAGAAGTGAATTATAGATCTATGTGATGGCAATCCACTTCATTTGTTCTTGTTCTTTTATCCTCTTGGCTAACCAATTAAATAACTATCCCTCAGCTCCTTCCATCCATTTCCGAAAAACAAAGCAAAACAAAACAAAAAACAATAACCAGCATACCAGAAATACCCTTCTTTTGTTTCCTTATCCTTTCTCTTTACAAAATCTTTGAAATTTAATCTCTTTGTAGAAAATTTTGTTAACTGTTTGGATGAAGGGTTTGTTTGAATGAAGGGTTAGTTTCATCTTGTTCTTTTTCATATAGTCTTCTCTTACTGCTTTATTAGTAATTCATTTATCCTCTTATTATTTAGGAATAATTGCTCACCTTGATTTAATTAGTATATTTCTTGTATTCTAAGAGTATAGCATTTCTTTAGCCATGCAGTTTATACATTGTGTAGTGTGTGTCAGATCATCAACTTCTGGTTTCATTGCTGAATCATACTGTAAGCTGTATGAGTAAGGATTAGAATTTCAGTTAAAATTCAGTAGAGTGTTGTAGCAATGCCAGTAAGTCATCTGAGGTGACAATCAGGTAAATAGGCTCCTTGGTCTTATGTTGTTATCATATTGAGTAGTCAGTGTAATTGCAGACAAATTGAAATTCATACTTCTCCCTGAAAGCTGGCTGTTTTCTTTGATGTTCATTGTGAGATATATCCTGATAGCAAGCTTTAGGCTAATACGTGAGATACAGTGTGGCTTAGATACATCAGCAAATGTATTATCTCTTCTGTCCATCTACATTGTTTCTTAGTTTTTATTAAGTAAATTTTTCTTTATAGCTCTTTGTACAAAGATGTAAAAAGTTGGGGTGCCTGGGTGGCTCAGATGGTTAAGCGTCTGCCTTCAGCTCAGGTCATGATCCCAGGGTCCTGGGATCGAGTCCCGCAACAGGCTCCCTGCTTCTCCCTCTGCCTCTCTCTCTCTCTCTCTCTGTCTCTCATGAATAAATAAATAAAATCTTTAAAAAAAAAAAGATGTACAAAGATGTACAAAGTAGGTCAAAAGCTGTTGAAAAGGAGTAGTTTTAAGGAGAGAGAAGGAAAGGATCTAAAAATGGTAGAAGTAGATAATTGAGCTCTATGTCACAAATAGGAAGTAGGTTCTGCCAATGAAGAATAATCAGTTGACTTAAAAAAATGTTGAAAGATCTTGTTGACTTCAGAATGTGCAAAACCAATTTTGACCCATGTAGTTGGAAGGCACCTGAAATCTCATATTGTAACGTAATTGTGATTTCCAACTACCCATATTTTTGAAGGTAATGTGAAGAAATTCTGTACTTCAGTGAGTATATTGGTGTAATCCTGGTTGTTGTAATAGCTCAATCCCAGAATGTGAGTTTAACGCTACAGAAGTTTATTTTTCACTGAAGTAAAATCAGAATGGGTGTTCTGATTAATACATTGCTCTCCTATCATAGAGATTCATTAGCCTAGGCTCTTTGTGACATGGCTCCACTTGGGTTTTGGGGACACCAAAAAATGGAATGTGCAGAGAAATTAATTGGAGTGTTGTTCTTACTTGGCTGAACAGTTTACAATTGCCTGGAGTATGAGAGTCTTTTATTAGTTAGGCCTGGAAGTGGTGTATATCACTTCTACTCACATTTTTTGGCCAGAACTTGGTCACTTGGCCATACCTGATTTCAAAAAAGTCTAGACAGTATGGTTCAACAGTGTGCCAAAGACAACATTTAGTAAATACCTAGCTAGTCCCTGTCACAGGAAGTAATGTAAAAATACAGTTCGTATCAAGAATTCCTCTATTATTTTATCTTTAAAATAATTTTTTAATAGATACTAACTACTGTTTTGTCTTTTAAGTGGAAAACATTTAGAAATGCAGGCTTTATCACTTGCCTGTTAGATACATTAAAAGTTTGAGTTATCTCATAAATATGTAATGAGATATGTGGCTAATAAGGTTCATAGCAGAAGACAAATGTGAAAAATAGATTTGATCATACTTCAGTAACTTCTGACTTGCTACGTAGCTAACCCTACCTACGATAATAAGAAATAGGGATAAGGATTTTCTGAATGCCCACTGAGTCCATTGATTTTATACTTTTATCTTTTTAAAATTTTACCAGCAATTTTGAGGAAGATGCTGTCCATTACCTTTTCATAGCTAAGGAATCATGGGATTAGAGACATCACGGTTACAGGAAGTAAGTTCTAGGATATAGACTTAGGTCATCATTTATAAAAACTAATAGAGATAGTGAAATGAGTAGCTGGTGAACCAGATACATGAAAAGAGAGGGCTGCTTCAAAATTCAGCACCAGACTAAACAGTGTTGGAGAAAACAAGAACAAGTTTAATAACAATTTAAGAACAAACAAAAATAATAATAAATTCATAATTTTAGTACAATTTGAGAGAATAATTGCATTGACATGATGAGACCAGTTGACACGAAAATTAAAGCAATCTGTGAACAAAGATATTTTGGGAGAAAAACAGTTTTTAAGAAACTAAAAATGGCAGAATAATGAGATTGCCAAATTTGGAACAAGTAGAATGAGTGCTGCTTAAAAGAATTAGTGAATTTGAAGACATATTTGGGATATGAGAAAGCAAAAGGAGAGATGGAAATAATAGAAAAATAAGACATGGAGGAGAGATCCAGGAGATGCAGTAACTATAATAAAGCTAACCATAGAGACTTGGGCCATTTGGAGAATTGATGAAATAAAAAAATTTTTTTAAATTGAACTGAAAGAGTTAAGGTTTTAGATTGAAATGGTTTACTGAGTTCTGGAGAAGGTTAAAAAAAGAAAACCTAAATATATCTTGGTGCATTTTTTAATTTCTAAAGAAGAATGTCTTATAATCATCCCAGCTGAAAAACTGGGTAACATGCATGGGGAAGAATAAATGGACTCTCTTTGTAGTTTTCATCTGCAACACTAAATGTTATAAAATATTATAACAATATTTGTAGAGCTCTGAGGGAAAAGGTTATCTAACACCAAAATGCTGTATTCAGTCAAATGACTGTGCAGATAAAAGGTAAAGACAATTTTGGATATATAAGAGGTCAAAGTTATACCATTTGGATAAAGTTATTTAAAGTGCCAAATTAAAGAGGTTACTCTACACCCAGTAATCACTTCTAGGTAGATTAAATGTGAAAGGTAAAATTCCCGAATTTTAAGGGACTATTTTTAGTCACTGTAATCTTAGTGTTGAGAAAGATTTCTTAAACAAGACTTAAAGATTGGGACGCCTGGGTGGCTCAGTCCTTAAGCTGCCTTCAGCTCAGGTCCAGATCCCAGGGTCTTGGGATCAGGTCCCACATTGGGCTCCCTGCTCAGCGGGAAGCCTGCTTCTCCCTCTCCCACTCCCCCTGTTTGTGTTCCCTCTTTTGCTATCTCTCTCTGTCTGTCAAATAAATAAAATCTTTAAAAAAAAAAAAGACTTAGATGTTTAAATAAATGTTTACTAACAGTGTTTAGGATTTCATTTATAGATGATGTAATTTTGCATTCTTTATCATAAAAATGGAGGCCACCTAAAAGATTTACCAATCTGAAACTGTTTAAAGAAGTTATGGAGCATATTTATTCGATGAAATTTGGTACAGTCTATAAAAATAATTATCTACATCTGTTTTTTGTCATAGAAAAGATAACCCATGCTATGTTTAGTACAAAAACTTTTACAAAACATTATAATAGTATTGGGGGAGGGAGAAGAGACATAGAAAAACTGTAGGCATATATCCAAGGTGTTAACAAGGGTTATCCTTGAGTGGTGGAATCATACATCTACTTTTCTATATAAGCTTTAAAAAAATTCAGTTCATGCAGTTTTCTTGTTATTTCTATTTCTGAAAGAATCTCTTCCTACACCACCTCTATCTTTCTCAGAAACCTGTCCTTTAAAATTATATAAGTGGCAAGTTAAATTAATTATTTGCTCATTTCCGTGTATTTTTTCCTGGGTATTGATACCATTTTTTAAGTGTGCTTTGTTAAAATGAAAAAAAATACCCACTTGACCTTCCAAAAGTATTTGGACCTCTAATGATAGCTTTGTATTACCTTCAGGAATTCAAAAGGCAACCAGAGTAAAAAGAAAGGACCTCGAACTCCTAGTCCACCCCCTCCTATACAGGAAGATATTGTTCTGGGGAAAAAATATAAAGAAAAGTATAAAGTAAAAGATAGAATAGAAGAAAAACCAAGAGATGGAAAAGACAGAGGACGAGATTTTGAAAGACAAAGGGAAAAAAGAGACAAGCCAAGGTAAGTAGGATTGTATGTTTTTAACAATCTTACTTTTGTAGAATCTAAAATACTCACTTTTCAGAAGCTTTTTAAGGCATCATTGTAGTAGATTTTTTAGTGTTTTAAAACTCTGTGTATTTAATAATTCCCATGTTGAGTTAGGGATAATTCAGTAAACATTACCTTAACATCATAAAATAATGAAATTTTTTATCTTAATCGTTTTTAAGTGTACAGTTTAGTAATGTTAAGTATATTCACATCATCATGAAACAGATCTCCAGAACTTTTTCATTTTGCACATCTGAAATTCATCTGAATATCCATTAAACAACTCCCTTTCCCCTCCTCCCCTACTAGGGGGAGCCTAGTAACCTCTAGTAACCTCTAGTAACCACCATTCTACTTTGTTTCTATGAATTTCACTACTTTAGTAGTCATATAAATGGAACCATTTTGTTTTTTGTGACTGATTTATTTCACTTGGCATAATGTCTTCAGGATTCATCCATGTTGTAGCATGTGACAGGATTGCCTTGCTTTTTAAAGCTGAATGATATTCCACTGTATATCCATTTCCCTGTTGGATATATGGGTTACTTCCACCTCTTGGCTATTGTGAATAGTGCTGTGGTAAGCATAGATGTGTTAATATCTCAGGACCCTTCTTTTGGTACTTTTGGATATATACTCAGAAGTGGAATTGCTGGGTCATATGATAGTTCTGTTTTTAATTTTTGAGGAAATTTCATACTGTTTTCCATACCAGTTGCCTCATTTTACAATCCCATCAACAGTGTACAAGGGTTTCAATTCCTCCACATCCTCACCAACACTTGTTATTTTCTGTTTTTTTGGACAGTAGTCATCCTAATAGGTGTGAGGTGATAGCTCATTGAGGTTTTTGATTTGGCGTTTCACTGACGATTGGTGATGTTGATTATCTTTTCATATGTTTGTTGGCCATTTGTATATCATCTTTGGAATAATGTCTATTCTCTACCCAATTTTTAATTGAGTTATTTGATTTTTGTTCTTGAGTTTTAGGAATCTATTATATATTCTGGATATTAACCCCAAATTAGATATATGATTTGTATTTTTTCCCTTTTTATAGGTTGCCTTTTCATTCACTCTGTTGATAATGTCCTTGATGCACAAAAGGTTTTAGGTTTGTTGTGATACCATTTGTCTATCTTCATTATTGTTGCCTGTACTTTTGGTGTCATTTCCAAAATATCATTGCCATCTCTGGTGTTATAAAGATTTTCCCCTATGCTTTCTTGTATGGGGAGTTTTATAGTTTTAGATTTTACACTTAGATTTTTAATCCCTTTGGAGTTAATTTTTGTACATGGTGTAAGATAAGGGTCCAACTTCATTTTTTTTTTTGTATATAGATAACCATTTTTCCCAGCACTCTTTTTAGAAAAGACTGTCTTTTCCCCATTGAGTGGTCTTGGCACCCTTGTTGAAGATCATATGGCCATATGTGCAAGGATTTATTTCTGGACCCTCTGTAGTACTCCACTGGTCTGTTTTGTCTTTATGCCAGTACCACACTGTTTTGATTACTTAGCTTTCTTACACGTTTTAAAATGAGGAAGTGTGAGTTCTCTCACTTTGTTCTTCTATATGAAAATTATTTTGGCTTATTTACATGTCCCTTGGAATTTTGTATCAATTTTTGGATGAATTTTTGTATTTCTACAAAAAAATGCCGTGGGATTTCAGTGGCGACTGTGTTGAATCTGTAGGTCCGTCTCAGTAGTATGGACACCTTAACAATATTAAGTCTTCTAATCCATGAGCATGGAATGTCTTTCCATTTATATGTGTTTTCTTTAATTTCTTCCAGTGATATTTTGTAGTTTTCAGTGTACAAGTTTTTGAACTCCTTGGTTAAGTTTATTCCTAAGTGTTATATTCTTTTTTATGTCACTGTAACCGGAGTTGTTTTCATAATTTCTTTTTCAGATTGTTCATTGTTAGCCTATAGAAACAACTAATTTTTGTGTGTTGATTTTTGTGTCCTGCAATTTGGCTGAATTAATTCTAACAGTATGTGTGTGTGTGTGTGTGTGGTGGGGGTGTGGGGGGGGTGTGCATGTGCACACACATGCATGCATGTAACCTGTAGGGTTTTCTATATGTAAGATCCTGCCATCTTTGAATGAGGATAATTTTACTTCTTCCTTTGCAATTTGAATGCCTTTCATTTCTTTTTCTTGCCTATTTGCTCTGGCTAGAGCTTCAATACCACGTTGGATAGAAGAGATGAAAGCAGGCATCCTTACTTTGTTCCTATCTTAGAAGTTTTTAGTCTTTCACCATTGAGTATGATGTTTGGTTTGGACTTTTTTATAAGTTGCTTTGTTATGTTGAGATAGTATCTTTCTATTCTTAGTTTGTTGAGTGTTTTTACCATGAAAAAGTGTTAAATTTTGTCAAATGTTTTTTCTGCATTTATTGAGATGATCATGTGACTTTCTTAATTCCTGAACCATTCTTGCATTCTAGGAATTAATCCCACTTTGCCATGGTGTGTAATCCTTTTAATGTGTCATTCAATTTGATTTGCTTGTACTTTGTTGAGAATTTTTACATCAGTATTCATCAGGAATATTTGTCTAGGTTTCTTACAATGTTTTTGTCTGGCTTTGCTATCAGGGCCTCATAGAATAAGCTTGGAAGTATTCCCTCCTCTTTAGTATTTTTGGAAGAATTCCAGAGGATTAGTGTTAATTCCTTCAAATGTTTGATAGAATTCTCCAGTGAAACCATGTGGTCCTAGGGTTTTCTCTTTTGGGAAGTTTTAGATTACTGATTTTATCTCCTTACTCATTATTGGTCTGTACAGATAAATTGTTTCTTAAATGAGTCAGTCTAGGTAGGTTGTAGGCCTAGGAATTTATCCATTATTTCTAGGTTATTCAGTTTGTTGATATACAGTGTTTCATAGTATTCTTTTGTAATCCTTTTTATCTCTGGCATCAGTTGTATTGACCCACTTACCTGATTTTAGTTATTTGAATCTTCTTTTTTTCTTCATCTAGCTAAGGATTTGTCAATTTTGTTATCTTTTCAAAAATGCAACTTAGTTTGGCTGATTATTTCTATTGGTTTTCTGTTCTCTATTTTGATCTCTGCTCTAATCTTTATTATTTCCTTCTACTAGCTTTGGATTTCGTTTGTTCTTTTTGCAGTTTTTTGAGGTGTCAAATTAGGTTGTTGATTTGAGATCTTATTTTTAATGTACACATTTATAGCTATAAAATTAGTTTTAGCACTGCTTTTGCTGCATCTCATAAGTTTTGGTATGTTGTGTTTTCATTTTCATTCGTTTCGAGGTATTTTCTAATTTCCCTGTGGCGTCTTCTTTGACTCATTAAGAGTGTGTTGTTTAATTTCCATATATTTGAGGATTAAATGACATAATGCTTTAAAAATAAGCAAAGTACTCAATAAATATATTCTTTATTTTCCTACTTTAATAATAAATTGCAGTATAATAATATTTAAAAATGCCTTTCTGTTTACAGGTTTTCACTTGTGCAAATTGAGTTCTGTTTTTCTCCATTGTGATCAGAAAAGATACTTTGTATGATATCAGTCTTCTTAAATTTGTTAAGACTTGTTTCATGGCCTGAAATGTGGTCTGTCCTGGAGGATATTCCATGTGCACTTGAGAAGGATGCATATTCTACAACAGTTGGGTGGAGTGTTCTTTATATGTCTGTTAGGTCCAGTTGATCTGTAGTGTTGTTCAAATCCTCTGTTTCCTTATTTTTCTGTCAGTTAATCAACATTAACTTTTTGGTATAAATGGAATTATATAAAAGAGCCAGCCAGTGAAAGAGCTGAAACCCTTCTGAAAATCTGTTCATTTTAAAATTAACATTGTTTCAAAATTTAAAGTTAAGTAACTGCATTAACTAATTTAGTTTCTTTGTATTTTAATAAATTCTTTCTCATAGCCAGTTTTTCCTCTATTCTAACAGTAGTACTTCTTAAAGATCTATTTTCAAAACTGACAAATTATAAATTCTTGATTTTTAAAATTCATTTATTTAGTGATACTTAAGAGCAAAAATTTTTAAAAAAAATTAACTTGAAGATAATATTTTTGTGGTTCACAAGATTTATGAAATGCATGCAGATTTAATAGGGATGCTTTTCCCCTATCCATTTTTAAAAATTGGTTTTCAAATTTATTCTTTCATGAAATTAATATTTCCTCAAGAAAAAATGTAACTCTTTAGAGGGCTCTCAAAGAAAATGCACAAGCCTTGAAGTTAATACAAATAGGAACTTGTATCTTGGGTCTGCCAATTACATGATGTAAGACCCTGAATAAGTTGTTTTCTCTGAGCTTCTATTTCTTCAACTGTAAAATATGCATGATACTGCCTCATAGGGTTGAGGTAAGGATTAAATGAGATAATGCTTTAAAAAAATAAGCAGAGTACTTAATAAATGTACTCTGTCTTCCTACTTTAATGATAAATTAGAGTGTAGTGATATTTAAAAATGTCTTTCCATTTGCAGGTTTTCACTTAAACTACATAGGTAATAGATTGTAGCCATAAAGATATTCTTCTTTTTTCTAACTGATGCTTATGCAGTATCAGATTTAGAATCAGCTGTTAGTAATAAGGACTCAATGTGGGGGGGGCTTACGTACATAAAGCAATAGTTCCCAAACTTTGCTGCACCTTGGGATCTGCCTGAGAGTCTTTGAAAAATTTTAATACCTGATTTCAATCCCCAGATATTCTTATTTAATTAGTATGAGGAGCAGCCTTGGTGTCCAGATTTTTAAAAGCTCATTGGGTGATTCTAATGTTCATCAAAGTTTAGGAACCATAAATTGGGATTTATTCTCTCATATGAAGAACCTCAGAGGGAGGCAGTCCAGGACCTGTACACTGTTCGTTCCACAGTCATTGGTGATCCAGGTACTGTCTGTCTGCCTTGTACATGCTTTTTTTTTTTTTTAAGGATTTTATATTTTTATT